ACGTAACTAATTGCATTCTTTTTTTTTTTTGTTTTTTTTAAGTAGTGCGTTACGTTACTTTTGCATTACTTTTAGTCAGCTGAGCTGGGCTTGCTTATTTGTTTAACAACAACAAAAAATCAAAAGTTATATTTTTGGCACCCATAAAAGGTACTCATTTCCCATTTCTCTGAACATTGGGATGTCAGTGAAAAAGCAACTTGCATTACTTATTCAGAAAAGTAACTCGGATATTTTGTTAATTTAAAAGTAATGCATTACTTTACTAGTTACTTGAAAAAAGTAATCTGATTAAGTAACTTGCATATATATATATATATACACTCACACACACACACACACACATAATGACAAATGATATATTATTTATATATAATATTATTATAAAATATAAAAAATTTGTTATATTATTAATATATTATTCTGGTTATATTATTAAATGATGTAGCAATAAAATAATTTATATAATTCAATTTATATATATATATATATACACTCACACACACACACACACACATAATGACAAATGATATATTATTTATATATAATATTATTTTATCAATATAAAATATATTTTAAAATCTTCATGTGATCTAGAGGTCTAGAGAAGCAAAAAAGTGGGAAAAAATACACTTTTCCTTAAACATTCATAAAAATATAAATCTAAAATCTAGATGTTGATTACAAAAAGTTCCATTGATTTGTTATGTATTGGTTAATTATCCATCTTCAAATGATGTGGATGGGGTCTGCATGAGCACATCAATATCTTTCTAGGCTGAAAAGCACAGATACACATTTGATAATGGTGATATTCATCAGTCTGGTCTCTATATGAGGCTTCAGACCTAAACAGATGCATTAATCACAGCAAGCAAACAGAGGATCCAGCGGCCAGAGCTGACAGAGATAATGATTCCTCACTAAGGACAGATCAGTCCGCATTAAGAGCTCTTAGCTCTAACCTTCAGCCAGTTAGCACAGCGGATGATGAACTCGGACAAGCAGAGGCTGAATCTCAATTCAAATACAACCACAGCACACTTTTAGTATGTAGTAAGAATACACCTGTATGGGGACATCACTTTAAATATCACGTTTTTTGAAAAACAGAAAAAGTTGACAGAGACCCATCACAAATTTTTGTAATGCAAGATGTGGGTAATATCCGAAAAAATGTATGCATGGATGCATACTTTGAAAATCAGAGCACTGTATGCACACTAATGCTAATGTCACATACTATATAAGATGGAAAGGATGTGCAATTACATAGCACGCATGGTAAAACATGATATGAGGACTCATTCTTCTTAGACCTCTGGGTTAACAGTGAGAAAGAGCAGTCGACTTGTTATTGGAGAGCAGCGCATATGTAATGACAGCTAAATAAGGTTCATCTTTCATTATAATCACACAGTCGTAATTTATTCATCATGTTAGATTTAATTTGGTATGGTTTTATACTTGGAAGTGTTGCGTTCATTATGCGCACACCTGTACACGTCTCTGAAGCAGATTTCTGAGAGCTTCATTAGGCAAGACGAGGGGGAAAAAGCACAAACAAAAACAAGACACATTTGCATTGAATTAGCATGGACTGAACATGATGCTAATTATAGCTGCATATGGATATTTGATGAATGACAGACTGAGGCAAACAGAAAAATGGATGGATGGACAGAAAAATGTGGATGGATGGATGTATTTAGATTTTAATGTTGACTTTAAACTGCCATACAGACAGATGGTCAGGGACAGCCAGAAAAGACACACCTGAGACCAGGATGGAGGCAGAATATGACTGTCCTTACAGTTCTCTCACTCTTAAATCAGTCACTTTTCCTCTCGGTTCAATCTCTAAACCTAAAAGCTTCCTGTTCAGTTCAGATCATCAGTCGAGCCTCAGAACCCTGCTGAGACAGACAAACATCTATCAGTCTCTCTCTTCAATCACGCCACAATATCTTTGTATTTCCGTTTTGAAGGTTTGCTCATGTGACCACACCGGTGTGTGTGTGCTTGTTGTCTCACACGCATTGCGTGCATAGAGCAGATGGCCATGTTCAAAAAGACACGCTACATTCTGTCATGCCACCAGTGACCGGCCAGTCATACGCAAGGGGATCAATGATTGGCCAATCATAGTCTGGACGTCTGTGGAGCTATCAGCGGATCACCTTTTACAGCTTGAACAAGAGCCATTTCACACCGCATGGCAGAGTGAACGGTCCTGAGGGAACAAATCATATAGAGCCGATTTCAGTGTTACTCAGTGAGGTGGGAGGAACTTTGACCCTGAAGGAGAAACACAGCCAAAAGCTCTGAAAGCAGAAGGACATGGGCCTTCTGCTTAACACAGTTGCTCTGTTACTGAGCCTAGTGAACCTCCTCACTCTATACTGCCTACACAAGCCCCTCACTAGCTCTTGTTGACAACATTTCAACTGAAATGGTACCACAAAAGTGACTTACTTGAAATTCTAAAAAAGTAAGCACAATTAGCACACAAGTGATTTGACCAGCGCTAATGGTTGATTCCAACATAAAACATTGCCGGTACTGAGAACATGCGTAAACCTTATGGATGATTCCAATGAAATGTGTGGCTAGACATCAGCATTAATATTTCAAAGAAAGAAATCATTCTGATAATTTGCTGAAGCTCAGTACATTTGTTTTGGCATCAAATATTTAAAAAGCCAAATTCAGTGGTTGACATGCTCATGGAGAAAACAGCAATAAAACATGGAGGAACATCACCTGAGGCACAGATCAATACGCACATAAGATTACGCTTCAGAAAATGGTCTGACATTCAATAGTCATCAGCGACACAAAGCACAATTTCTCACTGCGTTTTGTTTGTGATTGTGTTTGACAGGCACATACAGTATGTTGATGTGTATTTGCTGTTTGAATCATCTGCTAGTGTCAGTCTAATGCTTATTATCGTTATTTATTTATCGCTACACAACTAGGGCTGGTTAAATTTGTTTCTGCTACTGTCTAGAATGAGACCATGAACTAAAAGACACATCAAATGTGCATCTCAAACCTAAAACTTTAAGGTTCAAAGCCAGAAGCAATGCTTTGAAGTAAAAAATCTTGATTGATTTGTTTTATAAAAACACACAGCTTTTCACTTCACAAGATTGATGGACTGGAGTGGTGTGGATTATCGTGATGTTTTTATCAGCTGTTTGGACTATCATTCTGACGGCACCCATTCACTGCAGATGATCCATTGGTGAGCAAGTGATGTAATGCCAAATTTCTCTGAATCTGTTCCCATGAAGAAACAAAATCATCTACATCTTGTATGGCCTGAGAGTGAGTACATTTTCAGCAAATTTTCATTTTTGGTTGAACTATGACACGATTGACCAATCAGAATCCTGTATTTCAGAGAGCCATTTGAAAAACCTAAAAAAAAAACAGTGATGTAGTGTATGTTTCTTGTTCTCTGAGGTAAAAATGAATGCTTATTCGTTTAAAGTGCAGCATGTGCTCAGAATGTGAGTGTAAATGTGTACTTGATCCTTAAGTTCTCCAGTGGGAGTGTGTGACTAAGAGGTGAAACTTTGTGAGCAAGGAGGCCATTATTTAGTGAAGCAAAGATGCCCCTGGGTGTGTGTCTGTATGTGTGTGTGCAGATGTGTTGATTTG